ACAAATCTAGACTCGACATTTTTGTGTTTTTCTCCTATATAATTAGTAAAGCATTTGATTTTGTACAACGAAGGGTTATTTATTTTTTCATCGAAAGTTTTCAACGAAAGTCAATGAATTCCGAAATGAAAAAAATCTAGAGTGGAATTTCTTTTCTTTTCTTTTCTTTTCTTTTTTTTCTTTTTTCTTTTTTCTTTTTTCTTTTTCTTTTCTTTTCTTTTTTCTTTTTTTTTCCTTTTTTTTCCTTTAAACTTTGTTTGTTTTTTCCTGTTGTAGGAACATTTTAACTCATTCTTGCCAGCGGCGTGAAAGAGTTTTCGAAATTTGACGTAATTCGTTAGTATGTTCTCTTATTTATCACGGCTCTCTACCAATCGGAGAGCGAGAAAATTTACATTTGTGATTACATTTCTGTTGTAGGAACGCGTTTGAACTCACCATTTTCGTCAGTTTCTTTGAAGAGTTTTTGAAGCGTCTTGGTGTCGTGCACATCAGAGAGGGTTTTTTGGAACTCATCGAAGGTGATGCTTCCGTCACCGTTCTTGTCATAGGTAGAGCACTTGTGCGGGAACTTTTCAAGGATAGCCTTTTCTGGTCCTTTTCTTTTACTTTCAGTTCTTCCCTGAAAGACCAAAAGATTTTAATGATGAATCAGAATATTCAAAGTGTGTAAACCATGCGTTTCACTCTTGGTGACATTCTCTCTTGCAAAACTCTCATAGCAAATAAATTTTGCAAAAAATTAATAGGAGTACTTTCTATTCGTTTACTTGAAACTTGCCCCGCAAAAAAACTAAGAACTTCATTTGTGTAACGCACTCCAAATTTAAGCCTGTCACGCGACGTTGTCGTTGTAACTAAACTACATCGTAAACGCTCTTAGAAGCCGACCAAAAGATAGATAGGGACCCGATAGATTGACAACTAAGAAAAGAAAACATAATTAACCTGGTCATCCTCGATCTGGTCTCTCTTGCGAACGCACACATATCGGTATTGCACTACGCAGATGCGATACCACCGTCCATTGGATTGAACCAAGTAGCATCTCGTATAGCGTATAAGGTAGCAGGCCCCGTCGGTTTGAGGCAGTACAACACAGAGAACAAGGCAAAGGGCTGCCAAGAGCATCAGAGTCTTCATGATTCAGTCTTTCTAAAACAGGCAAGAGATTGGAAGGTCAGCTTGATAATCTGAATATATTTCAGTTTATTTAATAAAGCAGCCTACCTTGGTTGGGTTTCCTGTGGTAAGAGTCTTCTATTCCTTCTTCTTTGCTGTCTCAGATCAAAGTGCTTCTCCTATTATTTCCCTCTTCTTTTATGCCATTCCAAAGAGGAAAATAATCGTTATGATTGATAGATACGATACATATTCAACAGCGACACGAGGGAGAAGAAAAAATAGCCTTGTACACGAAAAATCTTGAAACACCAATGTTGACGACGATCTGAACGACTTTACAAAGAAAGCGCTTGAAATAAACTCCATGCCTGCAAAACAAGATGTAAAAATAGGTTAAACAAAATAGACTTGAAGTAGGAAGTCAATAATATGAATTTCAAATCAAACGTTACATGTATAAACTGATCTTGATTTTAGGCCGAATTCTTTAAAACAACACCAGTCCAGACATTGAATATATTTTTCCCTTGCGAAGGACATTTTTAGATCATTTGAAACTAAAACAAAAAAGAGTTCCATTTTTGATCGAGCGCAAGAAAATCTACGAATTGTAAAACTCGATTGTTGTGCATGTT